TGAACTTCACCAGGGAAACTACTTGAATTGTTGGCATTCAAGGCCTTGCACACCATGCAGTGAGCACTGTTAGGTCACTGGGAAAAAGGTCAGCTGAGAGGCACAGTCAAGGCTGGACGAGTGGATCTTAAGAAAATGGAGACACAGCCCAGTTTAGCGGGTAATTTCCTCTCTCCCTCCCTCCCTCACTCACTGAGCACCCGTGGTCAGGACCTGTGCTGGGCCTTAAAGAGGAAAGCAATTATGTTGCTATGCTGCCTGCTCCACCACACACACATACCCCCACCCCCCCCACACACACACAAAAGATGTGGGGCATCCTTGTCTGACCAAAGTGGTGTGCTGATGAATGTTTGACCTCCATGGGAAGTGGGGGTGGGGTGGGGACTGATATCTAGAGTTTGCCAATTTCGGTGTAAATATTCCCTTTATGGCTGACGTCAGACTACCAAGGTGGTCACTGAAGGTGGAGTCAGATGTAAATGTATAGAAGCACATCACTGGTATTTCCACCATATGGATATAATAGATACAAAAACCTCAAGAACATAGACAATAGTAAAATAAATAGAAGTGATTACTTTTATTTGCTACTTTTGTCAATATAATTTAATTGTAAGTCTATATAATGCAATTTTTTTAAAAATGTGCTGGGTCTTTGTTGCCATGTGAGGGCTTCCCTCCTAGTGGAGCACAGGCTCTAGAGTATTGGGCTCAGTAGTCGCAGCAACCAGGCTTAACTGCCACCCGGCATGTGGGATCTAAGTTCCCCGACCAGTGATGGAAACTGCAACCCCTTCCCCTGCCTTGGAAGGTGGATCCTCAACCACTAAACTGGTCCACAGCAGGGAAATCCCTATAATGTAATTTTTAACAATGAGTTTTAAAAGATAAAAAGACTGTATTGCACATCCAGCTTACAAAACTCAACATATTCTCTCCTCCCATTTTTGATTTATATTGTTGTTCAGTTGCTCAGTCGCGTGCGACTCTTTATGACCCTGTGGACTACAGCATGCTATGCTTCCCTGTCCTTCACTACCTCCCAGAGTTTGCTCAAATTCATGTCCATTGAGTCAATGATGTCATCCAATCATCTCATCCTCTGTGGCCCCCTTCTCCTGCCCTCAATTTTTCTCAATATCAGGGTCTTTTCCAATGAGTCAGCTGTTCGCATCAGGGGGCCAAAGTACTGGAGCTTCCGCTTCAGCATCAGTCCTTACAATGAATATTCAGGGTTGATTTCCTTTAGGATGGACTGGTTGGATCTCCTTGTTGGTCAAGGGTTAGGTGTATATTTTACTTCCTCCACTAGGCGGGGAAACAAAAGCGGGAGAAGGAATGCAGCTCCGTGGGAAGCAGAAAGCCGGGCTGGAGTCCCCCAAACAGCCACCGGGGGGCGCCAGACACAATCTGATCGGCAGCTCAGGACAGGAGGCCCTTGGGGTCCGCGGCCCCTGGGGGCTCCTGGATCATGGAGGGGCTTTTCCTTGTATTTCGGGCTCGTCCAGGACCGGCGCCGCTAGCAGGGGTCTCGAAGAGTGGAGGGCTCGCCCCTCACCGCGAGTACGCACACGCCCTTCGGCCCTAGTCTGAGAAACCAGAACTCTCGACCCACCACCCAGTCACGCGGACACCCACCTTAAGCCCCTACCCGGCAGCCTTTGCAGCCGGAAGTCGACTGTCCTCTGCCTTCCCGGCATCCTCTGTGCTTCCGCGGGCTGAGTGTCCAGAGTAAGCCTGGGTCATTAGCTGGCTGGAGTGAATTAATCTGTAGGCAATTAGTTTATATTGTCCTCGGGCTGGATTAGTGCGGAGGGACGAGGGACAGGAGTTTCCTCCTGAGTCACCTTGAGGCCGCAGAGCCCGGGAAATCAGGGAAGGAGCTTCCCAGGCTTCCGGTGCAGGTGCGGACGAGGGCCATGCCTCGCCCGGCGGAAAGGCCTGCGTTCTCCTCCCAGCTGTTTGTCAACAGTCTGCGTGGCCTTGGGCGAGGCGTTTGACCGGGCTAGGCTCGGGTTACTGCGGCAGACACTGTGGGTTGACTCCCAGGCACCTGTGCCCCTTTGTCCCTGTTGGCAGGTAGCGCCCACCCCTCAGGGTTTCCCAGGTGGCGCTAGTGGTAAAGAGCCCGCCTGCCAATGCAGGAGATGTAAGAGACGCAGGTTCAATCCCTGGGTGGAGAAGATCCTCTGGAGGGGGGCATGGCAACCCAATCCAGTGTTCTTGCCTGGAGAGCCCCTTAGATCAGAGGAGCCTGGTGGGCTATAGTCCATGGGGTCGCCAAGAGTCGGACACAACGGAAACAACTTAGCACGCCCACCCCTCCAGGGGGGTTTACTGCAGCGCTTTGTGCCCTCTGTGTCGGTCCTGTTCCCCTCATCAAATACTGGTTCCTTGAAAATACCATCAAAACAGCCTGTCGCTAAGACAAAACTGCGTTTGTTGCTTCCCTTGTTCAGGGAGCAGCATCTTGAAAGACTCCTTCCTGGAGAGGGCAAATTTGAGATAGGTTTCAGAGTCTGGCTTAATTTAAAATGGACCTTAATGAGGATCGGTAGGGATCATGTTACATAGTTTAGGGTTGTTGGTCATGGTAGTTGAAGGTTTATAGTCTCAGCAAGGGAGTCTTGGATCTTCGCTAGTTATTTGATACTACCTGTTTTTAAAAATCGTGTGGTTTTTGATGGATTTTTCTGAGGTCAAGGTGTAAAATTATTTGCACATTTTCTCTTCCTGGTCAGGTGTTTCCGGGAGTAGTAAACTGGTAGTAACACAGTCATGCTATTTTGCTTCAACCAGGGTGAGTCACAGCCCTCTTCTGCTTGCACCCAGAGGGATCCTGTGTGTGGTTTTCTTGTGTGTGAAATGGGGATTGTGTTGCAGTGGGAGGAGGCGAAGACCAACAAGGTTTCACCCTGTAGTAACCTTTCACGGTGGGACTTAAAAAATGTCTGCATCCTGAAAAAGAGTTCTTACTCTCAAATCTGAAAACAGCTGCCAAATTGAAAAGAATAGGTGTGTATTAAATGTCTCCAAGAAGTCACTATGTTTATTTGCCACCTGCAACTCAGAGCATGTAGTTAAGGGGTCATTATATTCACTGGGCAAAGGGAGGTGTGTGTTCACATGTTGATGGCACATAGTGGAGGCTTCAGGTTTATGGATTATAAAGGTCTTAAAATGGCCACGGGGCATTTCACTCTTGGCCTTCCTTCTTCCCAGTCTTCTAAGTTGGGGTGAGCTCCTCCCCTTTCTGTGCTCATTTCCTCCTAGGTCCGGTGGGGAGGACAGTGCTCTGAGCAGAGTAAGGAGGCTGAAGTGAGGTCATGTGTTGAGTGTGGCAGCTGGCAGTTGCAACTGAGGTGTGGATGATTCTGGAGCCCTGCGAACTAGGGTCTAGGACTGCTGTGAGAGACGGGGCCCATGGGAAGCACCAGGGAAGGATGCAGGGGGTTAATCAGGTTGGAAGAGAAAGCAGGAGAAACGCAGATGACAGTAACTACACTGTCCCAGCTCAGAGAGTCTGTGGCTTATTCCAGTCAGTTCCTGCAAGGAAGTTCCTGACCACCCCCCCTCCTCGCCCCCAGGACAGGTGACAAGTGTAGGGACAACATAAAAAATATTGAACAGCCAGTTCTTTACAGGCAGGAAACAGAAGAGGGTGGCTGGAGTCTGAGTCTCTTGGAGGTCCCGTGTCTCAATGGATATTAACCTTTAATTGTTCTATTGGGGGTGGACTGGAGCAGCCAGGCTAATGCACTTGGGGGCTTGAGGAGGCAGGTATTTGCAGCCTGTAGGTGACATGAAGTTGGGCCCCAACAAGGCATCCTGGCAGGATGTCTACTTTGCTGGGGGAGGGTGGAGGTGGCAGGTGTGGGGTGGGGGAGGTTGGCAACACAGCTGGGTGCTGGGCAGGCGTGGGTGAGAGCCACATTCTGGTCAAGTGGGTCCTCTCTGGGCACTCCCAGACTCTGGCACCTGGTGAAACCTGGGCTCCTTGGGCTCTGGAGGCATGGAGCAGAGCCCTGGCACAGAACTTCGCCAGGCTTTCTGGTCCTGCCTTCATTTAGACTGGGGGAATTCCTTCCCTCTTCCTGTTTCTAGCATTTCCTGTCTCCTCATCATTCCCAGCAGACCTGAGGGCAAGGTTAGCCTGAGATCAAGTCTTTAGCAATTGGAGAACTCGTTCTCCTTTCCTCCAGGGCAAGAAAGACAGAATCTTTAGACTCTGCCAGGATATGAGGGCGAATATTTGCATTTCATCTTTCTGTGGCAAAGAGAGGAAAGGAAAACAAGTCACTGTACAATTTTAGAATAGAGACTCGTTTGACAATACATGCCAAAACCTGTATATACACTTAACAGCCTTTGACCTAGCAATTTCTCCTTTAGGAATGTAACTCCAGAACATACTCAGAGATGTTCTTCAAAGATTTCTGAATAAGATTGTTTTCTGAAGTGTTCTAGTAAAAAGAATGAGTGTCCAGTATTAATAATTATGTTATGAACAAATAGTTTACTGACATGGGAAGCTACCCAAATAATTACATTTAGAAAACAATATAGTATCATGGTTCCAGTGAAAGGACTGATGTTGAAGCTGAAGCTCCAATACTTTGGCCACCTGATGCGAAGAACTGACTCATTTGAAAAGATCCTGATGCTAGGAAGGATTGAGGGCAGGAGGAGAAGGGGATGACAGAGGATGAGATTGTTGGATGGCATCACCAACTCAATGAACATGAGTTTGAGCAAGCTCCGGGAAATGTTGAAGGACAGGGAAGTTTGGCGTGCTGCAGTCCATGGGGTCGCAAAGAGTCAGACACAACTGAGCGATTCAACAACAACATGGATCCAGTAATATAAAAGGGTAAATATAGAATCTATAGCCTGTTTTATCAGGAAAAAACTTGTGAACTGTTTCATTAAGTAATCAATTGACTCAACAAAAGTGGGAGACACTACATCCCAAGAACTGTTAAAAAAGTGACCTGACTTCCCTGGTGGTCCAGTGGCTAAGACTCCTGGCTAAGACCCAATGCAGGGGGCCCAGGTTCGATTCCTGGCCAGGGAACTAGATTCCACCTACCAAAACTGAGGAAGAGTTTGTATGCTGCAGCTAAAGATCCCCGGTACTGCAACTAAAAAAGGTCCCACATGATGCAGTGAAACTCGAAGATCAAAGTTCTGGAGCCCTGCAACTGGGACCTGGCACAGCCAGAAGGTAAAGAACTGAATAGAAGTGTAATTTTCAAAAAAGGTGAAAGCATGACTTTCAAATAAGTATAAAAGTGGCATGTATCAGAGATTTTAACTCATTCACAAAGAAGGAAGCCATCAAGAGACTACAACTGATTTAAAAGAGAAACAGAAGAAGAGATATATACACGGGACGTCAGGAATGGTGAAATCCATTTGCTAATCACAGATGCAAGACTGTTTAGGGACTAGGGACTTCCCTGGTGGTCCAGTGGTTAAGATCTGCCTTCCAATGCAAGGGTTAAGGTTTGATGCCTGGTCGGAGAACTAAGATCCCAGGTGCTGAGAATCAGCCCACACATTTCAGCTCTTGAAATGAAGAGCCCTTGTGCCGCACCTAACACCCGACGCAGCCAAAAATGGATAAATAAATACTTTCTTAAAACACTGTTGAGTCTAAAGCAAGAAGACGTCATGTTTAGCATCACCTCTTCCGCAGGACGACGAGGACGCCAGCCGGCAGTGCTGTCCATCCTCACAGGTAGTAACCGGTCACATTGGTGGGATGTGGCTGGCTTTTCTAGGGGCAGCCCTGATTGGCATTGCTGTCAGTTAACTTCTTTCTCCACAGAGCTGTCAGCCAGCCTCATCACAGACACAGGCACACACACGCCCCTATGGGACCAGATGATCCGCGGAGACTCGTACTCACGTTGGGAAGGCTGTTGAGGCTTCTCATTTGCCCATTTGATGTCTTCCACACTTTCCCTGCAGCACAGAGAGGGTGTCACTTAAACTAAGGCCAATGGAAAAGTGAAGATGTCAGTCGAGACTTTCCAGGCAGACAGCAGCACGTGCCAAGGGTGTCGAGGAAAGAGAGGCCCCATGGGGCCGGCTGTGGGCCAGCAGTGAGGACAGGGAGCACGGAGGATGCTCCAGCACCTGTGGGGAGGGGACGCGGCGCTGGGATCTCCTTCGCAGTGCAGTGGGTACTGCTGGGGCTCTGAACAGGGGGATGCCATGAGCTCGTTGGAGTTTTGTTGAACATCTCGGCCGCTGCGGGAGAGGAGCCTGGAGGGGAGCTGGAGGACCTGTGTCGGGGAGGGAAGAGGAGGCCTGGACTTTCCTGTCAGCCTGTTCCGGGCTGGAGGCACCAGGACGCACTGATGGATCGGTGGGACATCAAAAGTGTTGCTGTGGCCTGCTCAGCCTGGTGGCGAGGAATGCCTGAGCCCCACCCTGAGCCACGCAATATGGTGAGGCCCCCACAGACGTGTTGTGGCTGGACGGGCCCCTGGGGTTCTTACTGTGATCACAAGACACACCTTAGCAACAAGCCTCAGGAAACTTTGGAAAAAAAAACAGATTTATTACTCACAGGTCCTGGAGGGCACACGGAGCACCCTAGGGCCACACGGTGAGATTGTGGGTAGAGACGGGGTAGGGGTGTGGACAGGGCGCTCTGCCTTTATTAGGGTCCAAGGGTGGGGAGGCTGGGATTCCCAGGGTTCACTCTTTGCTGAACCTAAACTTGAACTCCTTGCTGATTTTAAAACCTAAGAGGGGGAATTTGGGCTCAGGAAGAGAAAAGGGGGGGTCAATCCACTGGTCAGTTATCTGGGTCACCCAGGGTTTTCTCAAAGGGGATCCTTGTGGTTGGGGCCCCAGGCTCTGTAGCTGGTGGTCAGCTCAGAGCTGTGTTGCACCGCTGGCAATGCGTTCATTTGAGATGGTTGCCTTTGAAATAGATCCTCCAGCAGCCAAAAGCTTAATGTCAGAAGCTAACACTGCAAATATATATACACTGGTCTCTGCCCTGCCTCAGCCCTGTTCCTGGAGCCCTTAGAATTCCCGGGTGATAGTATCTTTTGTTCTGTTAAGATGATTCTTGGTGGTCTCTCTGGCTTCTGGATGGGGGCTAATCACCGGAAAGACCAAGCCGTGATTAGAAGCTTGAAACCTTCATCTTCTGGGGAGAGGATTAATAATGGACCGTGCCCACATGATGAGCCTCCATAGAAATCCCTGAAGTACAGGGTTTGCTAGGTCAGGAATGCATCCGTGTGTGGGGATGGCACAACCCAGCTCCACGGGGACAGAAGCTCCTGCACTCGGGACCCTCTGGACCTCTTCACCTGACTGCGCCTGTGTCCCTCATCGTAGGATACACTGGTCATGTAAGTAAGTGTTTCCCTGGGTTCTGTGAGTCATTATAGCAAATGAGCAAACCTGGGCTCATTTGGACGGGCTTTCTGGGAACTCCTGATTCATAGCTGTGTCAGATGGGAGTGTGAGTGGCCTGGGGACATACCGCTTAGATTGGCATCTGAGGTGGGGAAAGTCTTAGGGGACCGAGCCTGTAACCTGTGCGGTCTGCACAAACTCCAGTTAGTGTCAGCATTGAGTGAAATTGTACGACACCCGGTTGGTGTCCACAGAATTGCCTGGTGTGGAAAACACCACACACCTGGTGTCAAAAATGCTCTGTGGGGCTTTGCTGGTGGTCCAGTGGTTAAGAACCCACTTGCCAATGCAGGGGACGTGGGTTAGATCCCTAGTCTGGGAAGAACCCACATACCTTGGGGCAGCTAAGCCCACGCCCCACAACTACCGAGGCTGTGGTCTAGAGCCTGGAACCACACCTGCTGAAGCCCAAGATCTCTGGAACCCCGGGCTCCGCAGCAGGAGAAGCTGCCGCAAATAAGAAGCCTGCGTGCGAACACCAGAGTAGCGCCTGCTTGCTGCAGCTAGAGGAAGTTACGCCGCAATGAAGACCCAGCACAGCCAGAAATAAACAAATAAACCTTTAAAAAAAACATGTGTACAGAGAAGGAGTTTTTTCCTTTCCAACTGGTAACGGGCGGGGAGGAAAGGCTGAATCAAGAATGACTCGAATGTGCTTGTGCATCTGGGAAGACAGTGCCATTTTCTGAGATGGGGCGCCGGGGAAGCCCAGGTCCCAAGGACTCAAGATCCCGTAGTCTGAGATGCTGGCTGGGAGTCCAGGTCTACAGCCCCCAAGCCTGCGTCTTGGAGGCACAACTCAGGGGTGTGGGTGGGGATCTCTCTCTCCCCAGGCCCCTGTGCAGAGGGGCGCCCCAGTCCCAGCTGCTGACCAACTCCCCTAGAGCCCTCTGTCCTCCTGGCAGGAGAGCCGGGAGAGCCTCTGCACACTGACATACCCAGGAGCCATTCGTGAGCAGTAATCAGCACCTTCGATTATTTCCCTGGAGCGTTGATGGGGGAGGAGGAACGGGGATGGCCATGGGTCTGCACCCTGTGGGGGATGCTGGAGCTGGTTTCTCCACTCCTGTGGTCTGGCCGCCGGAAGTGGCTGCTCAGTAGGTACCTGAAGGCAGGCCTGCAGAGCCCAGCTCTGTGTCCGGAGAACTGGGGCTTCTCATTCTGCACCTGCCCCCAGGTATCATTCATCCTGTACAGTCAGTCACTTCCTCTCCAGGAGCCCTTGGCCATGACCTCTGACCTTACAACCCCTAGGACTGAGAGTAGCTGATGAGTCACCAGGAGTGCTGGATGCAGCCCAGGCTGGCAGTGGACACCCAGCGAGGCAGCTGGACCAGAGCACCCGCCACCGCCGTCCTTCCCAGCTCAACCCTTCCCATCGGCTCGTCTGGGCTCAGCCCTTCCCAGCCTGGGGCTTCTGTCTCTGCCTCCTGGTGCAGAGGAAGCGCAGCCCTTCCAGACGGACTTCTCGGTGCTGTAGTGAGAGTCGTTCTAGCTGGTCCCGGGGAGAAGAGGGAGCTCTGCGCTTGACTGGGGACGAAAGGAGACATTGCCAGTGATGTGGGAGGGCTGCCACCGTCCCCCCTGGAGGCTCCCAAACAGGCTGCGGGGAGGTTTTTCCAGGAGAACAACAGAAGTCAATGGGGAAAATGGGCTCTAAGAATTCTCGTGTGCAGCCAACTTTTCTGAAGGAGGGGGAGATTGTGAACAGAACCTAGGAGAATGCTCTAAGCCGTGGAAAGAAAATTCTGGAGGAAGCTGACACAGAGGAAGAGACGGGCCACTAAGGAATGGAGGGACAGGTGTAAGTGCAGTTTAAAAAGAAGTGCGGAAGCTCTCAGTGGACCACAGGAACAAATAATACTCTGTATTCCAGGAAGACATTAGCAGGGTAAAGTTACATGGAGTCACACCATTAACACCCGGACCCTGGAGGACCAGAATCCTAAGAGTCAGTGTCGGGGTGAGGGAGCCCTGCATTTAGAAAGTATGGGATTGAGGATAGGAACAGGGAGCGGGGACCCCTAAGATTACAGAAAGGAAGGCTGGGCAAGGAGGGGGAGGCTCAGCTTCCATTTTAAGGAAATGTCAAGAGGACAGGCAATGTTGGTGTGAGACGGAGAAAACTTTCTTTCCAAGAATTCTAGGTGGGGGTAGGATGGACCACATAGCCAAGGGTCAGAGAGCCTGAAGATGAGGAGAGGACTTGGTGTACGCCCATATGATGCTAGGCTTCTTGTGGAAACCAAACTCTGGGGTCGGGATGGCAGTGAGCAGACCGAGAAGGCCTTGAGGAACTTGGGAAGAGGAAATGTGAGGTCTGGGGCCACAGGAGCCATGGGGAGGTTCAATGCTCTAAGCCGTGGAAAGAAAATTCTGGAGGAAGCTGACACAGAGGAAGAGACGGGCCACTAAGGAATGGAGGGACAGGTGTAAGTGCAGTTTAAAAAGAAGTGCGGAAGCTCTCAGTGGACCACATGAACAAATAATACTCTGTATTCCAGGAAGACATTAGCAGGGTAAAGTTACATGGAGTCACACCATTAACATCCGGACCCTGGAGGACCAGAATCCTAAGAGTCAGTGTCGGGGTGAGGGAGCCCTGCATTTAGAAAGTATGGGATTGAGGAT